ACTTTGTGGATTTAAACTTTGTGGGTTCACTTATATACATATTTTTTTCTATACAGTACAGTACTGTAAATGTACTTTGCCTTCCTTATGATTTTCTTAATAACGCTTTCTTTACTCTAACTTAAATACAGTATATAATACAAAAACGAAACACGTGTCAATCAACTGTTTACTTTAGGCTCCTGGTCACTAGTATTCCTATTCCTAGTTAAGTTTGGAGGAGTCAGAGGTTATACTCAGATTTTTACCTGCACAGGTTGGCACTCCTGACCTCGCTGTTCAACGGTCAACTGTATTGTGCACACTTTGCCAGAATAAAGAACTGTTATATATACATATACACACATGACATATTTGCATGTGTGCATTCTTTGCCCTTTCCTTGCCCTTTCATAAACTATTTTTCAGAGACCATATCTGGATAAGATCAATCACTCTCCATTGGGATCAATTCATTGATTCTAAATCTGTTAGGCAAATAATAATAATAATAATAATAATAATAATGATAATAATAATGCTTTGAATTATTAAAGCACTCTCTTAAGACTGTAATTAACAAACTCTTCGTCACCAAGCCCTAACTTGCTTTAAATTTCTATCACTTTCAAAGCAAGAGCCCTAAAGATATATATGTATATATAATTTAAGCCTTTACCACACTATAAATATTGGTTTCACCTTATCAAAACATTTGCACACCCAATCCTGAAAACGTAATATAAAAAGGAAAATATAAACCAATATTCATTATGACGGTGAGTCTGTTTATTTTGACGATTTCTCAGTCTCTGTAAGAACACTTGCTTACTCAAAATTAAGCATGCGACAGATGACTTAAAGGCAATTTGTTCTTAAAATACACTAAACCTCGAAAGTAAAACTCTTGAGAGGCAAAATTCAGTGGAAAAGAGTGCTTTCTACATTTTATTAGTAAGAGACAAACCCTTTATGAGGTTGCTGAAATATTAAAAATACCAATCTGTAGAGGAAAAGAGAAGATGTGATTTTGGCTATCACTTTCAGAGCTATTAAGAATACTCACAGTTAAATGACAATTTTAATACAGAGCCAGAGTACAATTCTTCTCTCAGAATTGTTTCAAGAATTTTCCACTTTCAAAATTCACATGTAGCTTAGTTTTATTACAAATTGCTCTCTACCCCATTTCTCTCCATTAATGCTGCCCAGAATATAACACAGTATTTTTTAAGTACAGTCTATGGTTCTACCTCCTGAAGTGTACAATAACAATAATTTATTATGTTTGGGGCTTAGCATAACATTTACAAGTGGAAACCATTAAAGAAAGCGCTATTCACACAATCAGAATGGGAAGGAGCCCAATAAAGGAGAGCATATACATAGCTCAAAGAAATTTTCAATATGCTCCAACTTTATTACAGACTTCAATTTACCACTTCCCAGGTATCAGTGCTATTGACTGTATTTACATAAACTTGTTAAAATGACAATTTAACCTGCACAATGTGTAGTCTGTTTATCTTAAATCTGAAATGGAAATGTTTAACTTGTTAAAAATTAATATCCCAACAAAGGGAAAGAATAAAAACATTCAAAATAAATTCCAGAGTTAATATTATTTTTGTAAACTTATTTTAAAGCACTACAGCGCAAACTCACTTTGTGTGATCACACTTTTTATTCAATAACAATCACCTTTCCTTGTTCACGATGCCATAAATAACGCAAGAGAAATTTAAATCTTCAAAAAGGATTATAAACAGCTAATTAAAATAAAATTCCACCTGAAGTAATTTCCTTGCTATAACCTATATACTATACATTGTATTGTTATTGGTTAGAAAATACTAAATTTTCTGAATCACATGCCCTCCTACCAATTACATACTGACAAAACATTAGCCAATTATTTATTAATCGAACTCTTCTGCTCAAGAAACCAAGAGTCATGCTCCTATACCTTATAGAAGCCCAAGTATCTCTGCTCCCTCCCTTCCTGCATGAGGCTTTAAACCTTCAGTCAGTTTTATTTTGCTACTTTCCCTAACCTTTGCAATTAGTTTTATCCTGCTACTTTCCTAAAAATCACTGTTTTTCATTTTATCTGCCACAGTTGTATTTGGAGAATTAAGACTGTTCAAGCATAAAGTTATTCCACCTATCCTCTCAAACTATACTATGCTCCTAATACTCATCATTCTGTAATCATTTTATCCAAATTAACCAGTGATAGGTTTGACGTTTCAAGTTTCACTTAAAAGAGGTTGATATGTTTCAGGGTAAAATAAGTTAAATATTCTGATCATTATGTTCTACCCAACTTCCAAAGAGCTTGACAAAGTTCACCAACACCCTCCTCTTTAAAATAGCAAACACGCTGTCATAGAACCCAGAGAATAGCTGCTTTGCTCCAAAGAATATAGCTCCTGAGCACTTCCCAGAGCAGCTGTTACTTTCAGACGCCTGCTGGACTATCACTTTGGTTAAATCAATGATGGGTCATATTGTTCCACTTTACTTTTTTTTAGTGTTGCAATCAATGTAGGAAACCTACTGATGACTTTTAAAAGTACAGTACAAAAATTAAAAAAAAAAAAACTTTAGCTCCACTACTTTTCCAAAAGAAATCGTTTCAAGATCCCTACATCATTACTTAAACCACACGTATCAGTTGTACATGACCCTGGAAGGCTTTAAATGGATTCAATTTTCTATCTAACTTTACCAAACATGTTCGCAAGTTTTCAATAATTTCGAGAACGTTCTATATTACAAAGGTGCTGGTGCACTCTAGCAGAACCGTGCTGCTCAAATACAAGCCCCGAAACGAGTATCCTGCACGTGACCAATTTTAGGTATATTTCTGGCTACCTGAAGAGCTTTCTGCACCCTTTATCCCCCAGTGATGCTCCCAGCGGCAAATACTTCCCATCCTTCAAAACCTTCCTCCCACCCCTCCAAAAATACACATTAGATTTAGAGGTTTGCGCATACTAATACGGAATCACTAATACCACTAGGTATTATGGCTCTCAAAGAATCCTCTTTAGCAGCCTCCCCTGGGACACCGTGCTCAGCGGGGCTGTGAACCTGTGAGACTCGCCGCCAGCTGCCTTTGCAAAAGCAGCACCACAGGCCGACTAAATACCGCAGTGCTGCTGCTGACTTTTTGCAGCAGCTTAAAAAAAAAAAAATCAGCCCAGTACCCTGCAGACCCTGCTGGCTCTTCTGCAGCACCGAAGAGAAACCACCGCATTGCTCAGCGAGCAACACCGGGGAGCCCGACTGTAGGGCGGAGAAGCGAGTGCCGTCGAGAGGCTCTGTCGAGGGCGGGGTGTCGGGAGTGGGGGAGGTGGGGAGGAAAAACGCGTCCGGACTGTAGGGGACCGCGACGGAGCAGCGGCCAGGGCGCTGGCGGCTGGGCGCCCAGCCCCGCATCGCGCCCTGACCGTGGCAGTCGTATAGCGGACGCCCGGCAGGGGCACGGGCCCCTCCCGGGCATGGGGGTCCCGCAGCAGCCGGCCTTACCCCGCCCGCCGCCCCCCGGGCCCTCACCTGTCATGAGCGCCGGACTGTCGCCCGCCGCCGCAGCGGGAGAGGAGGCGGCTGCCGCGGCAGAGCCCGAGGCCCGCCGCCCGCGGAGGTGCCTGGACACCAGCTCGCATCCGTCCGCCGCGCCGGCCACCAGCAGCCCGAGCACCAGCAGCGCAGCCCAGCGCCACCGCCGCAGCCAGCCCGAGGCCGGGCCGGACGCCGCGGCGGGATGAAGGCGCGGAGGAGGACCGAGGGGAAAGCGCGGCGGCGCCCCGGCCGCCGGCCACTCGTCCGCTCCGCCAGGCGCTGCAGCTGCTGCTGCCGCCGCCGCCGCAGCCGGCGATTCCTCGGGCCGCCCCCGCCGCCTCGGAGGCGAGCTCCTGCTGGGCGCCAGCCTGGTCCCCTCGGCACCGGCGGCCTCCGGAGCTCGGGTACCGGCTGCGTTCATTGGTTCCGGTTATTTAAAAAAAAAAAAAAGGTGAGGGGCAGAAAGGTACGGCGTCTTCAGGCCGCGCGCGACAGCCACGCTCCTGCGGCGGCGAGACCGGGATCCGCGGCTCTGGCGCCTCTGAACACCAGCCCCAGCGCCCGCGCCACCGCCGCCGCGGCGCATCCCCCCGCCCCCTCCGGCCCGCACCCGTCGTAGTACCACGCTCGGCCCCGACGCCTCCTCCCCTCACACACTCGCACACAGCATACCAATCCCCCGCCTCCTTCGGCCTCTCCACAGCGCAGGCGCGGCGCTGCTGCACTGCGCCTGCGCGGCGCCACAGACCCGCCCCCTGGGCGTTCCCGGGAAGACTAACGTCCCGCGGGGTGGCTGCTAATGCTCTCGCTGAGCCGCGAAGTTAGAGGTGCGGGGGAAGACTGGCATGTATGTCCCCTTCCCCCATTCACGGCCCGGCCCAGACAGCTGGAGGGTTGGGGGACCAAAGAGGCGGGACAAAGGAGTACAGACTTCCCAAATTGTTTGGGCAAGTTATAGGCGTGTAGACGACAACAAAAATAAATGCGTGGGTCAGGAAAACCTTCTAATCAGAAACAGCGGCGTCTCTAGAATTTCAATATAGGTGGGGCTTAAGCCAGCAATGTGGAAGTGGAGGTTAGCATAGAAGTGTTTTATTTACTTAAAGCGCTCGCTGCAAGCCCATGTGTCAAGCACTGCTCTAAAGCGTTTACAAATTTATGCATTGTAACTAAAAGGTAGTGGTATCTCTATCAGCCCCACTTTACAAATGAGGAATCTAAGGCCCAGAGATGGTAAGTAACTTGCCCCCAGGTCCCCCACCTAATAAATGAGAGACGGACAGATTTAGCACCATTAAATGGAAATACTTAAATGGATTTGCTCTTGCCTCTGACTTTCCAATGTTCAAACATTACTTGAACTCATCACCTCGCTACCACCCCAGCAAATAAGAATTCTTTGCTGTCGGTTTATTAAGTTTACAGAACGGTGATTCGGATTTGGCTTTACCTACCTGGAATGAAGCACAGGGCACCCGTTCGGGCGTGCACACACACGGGCATTCTCTCTTCCAGGAGCACAAAGTTATTTAAGATTTGCAGATAAGGTTCGTAAGCATAAAGGTCCTGTTTGATATTAGTTTCTCGCTGTTGGGTTAGGGGTTTGATTTTGGTGTGTATTGGCTGGTTTTCTCAAGAAGATACTCAAATTACACAATCTCCCAAAGAATTTCTTCTTTGAGGAAAGAATCAAGAATTTCTTTGAAGCTAATCAATCTATCAACAATTATTTCTTGACAGACTTCTTGGGGACAGTGCTTTAGGTGGCAATTCATAGGGCAACGGGGAGATTATATTTCCCCTGCTGAAAGGCATAGCAATCAAGTCACAAAAGCGTCTACCAGAAGGAGAGAACTTTGCTAGAAGACCAGGAAAATATAAATAACAGGCTTGTTTTCTGGTCTCCAACATTTCATTCATTCAATATTTCCTGAGTGCCTAGTGTGTGCCAGGCAGCGTACTGAGTAGTGGGAATTGAGGAGAAATAAAAGAGAGACCAAAAAAGTCAAGTCAGTACTCAGGGATATAAGAGGTAACACAGTCCCTGCCTGGGGAATCTTACGATCCTGCTTGGGAGATAAAATTTACACTCACTAAATAATTAGAAACTAATACAAGGTAGTAGTTAATTAGTTGCTAAATTGGGTAGAGGAAGCTGTATTATACAGCAATAACTGCAGTATAAAACCACAAATTATCAAATCACTGAGGCCAAACTTCTTTAGCCAAAAATTATATGGGTTTTTTCCTTCTTTATTTTAAATAGCCTCCACACCCCATCTGGCGCTTGAACTAACTCACCACCTGGAGATGCAGAGTGGCATGCTCCACTGACTGAGCCAGCCAGGCACCCCCTCCTTCTCTTTGAAAGACAAGGATGTTGGCACTGACGGGACCGGACTTGACTTGAGGTTATGATTAACTGTTTATGCCTCTCACTGCTGGAGCCAAAAAGGACATAGGGAGGTACCTGCCAACACTGAAGAGACCTGTCTCAAGCAGGCCAGAGTTCAGCACTAAATCCTTCATCTCATATCATCTGTGTCAAGGGTGCCAAAGTTTCTATTTGAGTGGCCAGAATGCATCCTCTTGTTGCACAAAGGTATAGCATCACTGTGCATCTAGCAAAAACCTAGGTGCAGAAAAGAGAAAGTCCACTGTCTTCACAAGATGATCTATAGAATACAGTTGCTTCCATTTGCAAGCCGCAAAGAAACACTGGGGTTCCCGTTAGAGTAATCGCTTCTTTTTCTTCTGACTTCCTGTCCCACCTCCAAGCCTTTGCCTTCGCTTTCCCTGCCTCCCCAAAACTTTCTTCTCTTCTTTCCTCTTGCCAAATCCCATTAAAATCTAAGTTGAGCCCCTTTCCTTGACGCCTGCCTTCCTACAGCCTAGTTCTTAACGTCCAAACCTTAGGACTTTCCGTTAATTTACAGAATGTCTTTATTGTCTGATTTTCACCCATTCGTGACTTCAAGCATCTGATGGGGAGCACGGAGCTTTGGAATCAGACAAACCTAGAGGAAACTGCAACTCCACCGTTTTTCAGCTGTGTAACCCGTAGGAAAATTACTCTGTCCTGGGTTTCCGGAGGGGAAAATTAGGGACCACATAATAATGCCCGCCCCACAAGGTTGCTGGTGGCTACAAGAGAGTAAAATAACAGGTCTGCCTTTGCGCGCTGCCTGGCACACAGGTATGTTTTCATCCCTCAGGGAGAACTGGCCCCAGACTCCGGGCGTGTGTTCTGAGCGTGTTCCTAATTTAGGATAGCTCATCGCTCTTTGCCTGCGTGGTGGTTTGAGTTCATCTTCCGACAAAAAAAATCCCTTAACTCCGTAGGGCACGTCCAGCACAAACGCAAGATCCGTCCATCCGGCCCCTCCCATCCCCGAAGCAAACCAGCCCTTCCCAAGCGTCGGGCTCTCTCCCCATCTCCTTCTCCCCCTTCTCCCGGGCAGCCACGACGGCCCACGGCTCCCCACCCGCTCCAACCCGGAGAACCGGATCTCGTCCCGGGAACGAAGCCAGCAGCGCGCCTGCGCCGCCAGGAAACCTCGCGCATGCCCGTCGTCTCCCACCGCCTTTTCCCCAGGTGCGCGAGCTCTCGGGCTCCCGCGGTTCCGTGACGCTGCGCGCCGCAACTAGCTTGGCTTCCGGCTCCCACTCCGTGGGCGGTGCGTCCGGGCGGCCGGCTGCCGCGGGATGACGTCACCGCGCGGGCGGGCGCGGCAGGCGTTGGGTGGGCGTGGAGCCGGAGCTGAGGCGGAGGTTCGGGAGTGGGGAATTCCTGTCCGCGGTTAACTGAGAGGGGCTTCCTCCTGCGTCCCGCCTGCCCACCGAGCATCTCCGGCCCGCGTTTCGCCTACAGAGAGATGTGCCAGTTTTCTCGGCTTTGACTCCGCGACCCTAGAATTTCGGCGCCTGACGGGGCGTCATCCGTAACAGCCAAGCCCCTCGGAGGAATGCGAAGAGCTCCCTTCGGTGGAAGTCCTGTTGCGGACCGCCATATGTTTTCCCACGAACTCCCCACCCAGTCTCGCAAGGGAAATGAGGTCCAGAGAACTTTAAAGGGGGTGATACTATGTATGATACTATATGTGATGGCCCCAGGATCCGAACAGTGAAGCCTCTGCATATTAATATGGTCTCAAATTATTGAATGAATTAAAGCACTAAGAAGAAAAGTGACACAGTGGAAATAACTCATTAGCAAGATTCTTTCTCCCTAAAGCCAATAAGGCAGGGAATATTCCTCACCTACTTTAGTGAAGGTGGTAACCTTCCTCATTGCATCTTTCTTGCATGGAAGAAGGAAGTCTTTTAAAAGGTATCCTGCCGGGTAAACTCGTTTTAAGAGTTTTAACATATTAACATAGTTTTTTAAAAGCCACCCAGCGGAGCAAAAGCAAATCAGTTTTGCCCACCAAAGCTAATCAATGGGCTTCTGGAGTCATTTCTATTATTAAAAAGGATGTTTGCTGTTACTGCTTAATTTGAGGTGTTACATGAATACTATTGATCACATAATATCTCATAAGTGCTAAAGCAGTAGGAGTGATAAATGCTCCCTGTAGAAAGAGGAGTCAGGGGGCGCCTGGGTGGCTCAGTCGTTGGGCGTCTGCCTTAGGCTCAGGTCATGATCCCAGGGTCCTGGGATCGAGCCCCGCATCCGGCTCCCTGCTGGGCGGGAGGCCTGCTTCTCCCTCTCCCACTCCCCCGCTTGTGTTCCTGCTCTCGCTAACTCTCTCTGTCAAATAAATAAATAAGATCTTTTAAAAAAAAAAAAGAAAGAAATAGGAGTCAAATTGTGACGAAGACAAAAGTAGAGAGGTTCATAACTGAAAATGATGAGGAAATGAGCACTGCTTCATTTGCACACAGATGAGTCCTCGGATAGTATTGTTAATTCTGAAGACGAAAGGCAAATTGTGCAACAGGTAAAACATGATATGCCTACAGTTTTGACAGGAAGAGACTGGAAAAATGATTGATGGAATGGAAAAACTTTCCATTTTATTACAAGAGATATGCTTCTAAATCAGATGCCTACTTACCTAATCTTAAGTCACATAAGACCAAGTGTTTGTTCTAGAACTAAAGCTTAGGATGGTAAAATATGTGTTGCAGGGCAAAGTGTGGTCCCATGGGTCCACAGCACCAACCAAATATTTATAACATCTGTGAATTATGAGGCACGAAGTTGCTAAAGGGTTCTTACAACGCTTGAAGAGATTATCTAAGAGGGAATTACCTACCATCAATTTCAAAGTGTACAAGACATGTCCATTTTTGCAAAAGATGCCATAGAATATACAGGAGCAAGGAAGAGAAAAATAGACTTATTTTAAAGGTGTAAAGGGTGACCCACCTCACTTTTTTGTGGAAAGTTCATCCAGATACTGCAGGGTTAAGCCTCTTCTTAGTAAGTTTGAATGTATATAAACATGGCCATAAGTACAGCCATTTGGAATTGAAACTCTTCATGAGGAGAGGAGGAGCTCCTATATCTTGGTTCCAGGAAAGCCATGTCCTTACTGGAGGCTTATTTGAGGTATGGTGTCTTTAAGAATACAGATTGACGGGGGGGGGGGGGGGGGGGGGGGGCCGCATCTGGGTGGCTCAGTCAGTTAAGCATCCAACTCTTGATTTCAGCTCAGGTCATGATCTCAGGTTTTTGGGATCTAGCCCTGGATCAGGTTTCATACTGACGGTGGAGGCTGCTTGGGATTCTCTCTCTCCCTCTGCCGCTACCCCCCCCCCAAAAAAAGGAAAGAAAAAGAAAGATTCTTGTGTTCACACAGCCATTTACTAATTGTGTGACTTTGCCCAAGCTACTGAACATCTTAGCCATAGTTTCCCCTTCTGTAAAAAGGCAATAATAATGGTACCCACACAGGGCTGTTGTGAGGTAAAAGCTGTTGTAAGGGTACCTGGTGCACAGTTAGATATTATTATCTGAACTCTTGAGGGTGTTAAGGACAGAGCTTGTTTTCAATTAAATTATACAAAAGAGGAAAGTGAAAAATAGAGCACATAAAACAAAGCTGGGCACATAAAAATGTTTACAGCACCATATGCCTGGGGAGGGGCAATCAATGATGATATTTTAATCCAGGTTTCCAAGAAAACAGGACCCAAGGTAAAGGCTTATATGACAGCAATTCTTTAGAGAGTATAACTCCAGGGAAACAAGGCGGGGGTGGGGGGGAACAAAGTAGGGAAGGAGATAGCAAAAAATCCAGAAGATGAAATACTGAGCTGGCTACAGCTGTGCAAGGAAGAGCGCTTGCTGTTCTGCCTCACCTGATTTCCCCATAGAGGACTTGGGAGACCATAGTGTTTTGGAACAGAGGAAGGAAGAACAACGGTTCCTAGTTCCCATCAGTCAAAAGTTATTGCAGGAGACATGAACCACCCCCATCCCACCGCCCCCACACTTTTGAGTCCTGCCTCCCGCTACTCCAGGCAGCTGCCGGGAAAGCCAGATCCCTCAACAGCACTAGCATTATCCATGCATGAGCTCAGCTAGCAAGTGAATGGGAGCCAGTAGCACTTCCCAACTGTCCACCTGCAGTTCCGCGGTGTCTACCACCTCTGGAGCTACAGGGAAGCCCCCCCCCAAAAAAAGCTGGGGATTCAAGGCATTGAGACTTTGTTAAATCATATCCCAAAGCAACATGAGTGACCTGAAGTAAACAGCCTCACAACATCAAGACCACTACCACCAAGGCTGCCGCAAAGTTCAATAAGCCTCCCTTCAGTGAAGATTGAAATATTCCTTCTGCAATCTAGAAAGATGCTGTTGCAGTGCGGTAATGTTCTAGAATGGTAATCGTAGCTTTAAACAGAAAATTATGCAAAGCAAATCCAGGGAGGCACATAAACTGGGTTCAATATAATGATAATGGCAGAAACATGGGAGGACTAAGGCATTAAAGGCACTGTGAACTAAGAGAAGCCCTTCATGCTTTCAAATACTAAATGCATTTTAGGGGTCAGGTACTATATTAGGTGCTACGATCAAAGATAAATAAAATAATCCCTCTGTCCAAGACCTGAGGAGCTCACAGTCACACAACAATAATAAAAAGGGAGGCATTTTTTCATTCATTTATTCATGCTTTGTTATTTA